GTGTGAACCTGTTTTCATTTATCCAGGATAAATGCTCAAGCGTGGAATTATGGTGTCACAAAGTACATGTATCTTTAGCTTTTTAAGAAACTGTCAAATTATTTTCCAAAATAGCTGTGCTGTTTTCCACTCTCACCAGTAATATATGAGTGATCCAGCTTCTGTGCATCCTTGCTGTGTTTGGCGTTGTCACTGTACTACTTTATTTAGCCATTCTGACAGGGGTGTAGTGACAGCGCACTATTGTTTTTATCCCCGTGACGTCTGCAGGCTCCGAAGTGATATTTGTTTCCTATCATGATATTGGTAATTTGTGTCCTCTCTCTTTTTCTATTTGTCTGTCTTGCTAGTGGTTTTTAATTTTATTGATCTTTTCAAAGAATTGGCTTTCTGTTTTGTCAATTTTGTCAATTTTTTTTTTTTTATTTTTGCTTTTAACGTCTCGGAATGTCTGCTCTTATTTAATTTTTTTTTCATATTCTTGCTTCATGTTTATTTTTCTCTTCTTTTTCTAGTTTCTTAATATGAGAGCTTAGATTATTGATTTGAGACTTTTCCCATTTTCTAATGTAAGCATTTAATACTAGAATTTTCCCTCCCAGGACTGCTTTAGCTATGTGCCACAAATCTTGACATGTTTTTTTCATTTTCATTCAGTTCAACTTATTTTTATTTCCCTTGGGACTTCCTTTTTGACCCATTAATTTTTTAGAAATGTATTGCTTAGTTTGCAAGAGTTTAGAAATAGTCTGTAAATATTGAGATATTTACATTATTGATTTTATTCTGATTACCTTCTTGTCAAAGAACAGATGTGGACCGAGCTTCAGCGCTTTCACACTTGGTGAAGCTCGTTTCATGGCCCAGGAAACCATCTATCACAGGAAGTCTTCTGTGGTTCCTGAAAGCATGTGAGTTCCGCTGTTGTTGACTGGAGCGTCCTATGAATGCCGATCAGACCCTGCTGGTTGGTGGTGTCTTGAGCTCCTTCATATCCTCATCGATTTTCTCTCTAGCTGTTGACAGTTCTTTCTTTTAGGAGATGAATAATATCTCACTACCTTCTGGTCTCTTGGTTTCTGATGAGAAATTCACTGTCATTTGAATTGCTTTTTTGCCTATAGGAAAGTTATTGTTCATCTCTTGATGTTTCCCAGATTTTTTCCCTGTCTTTAGTTTTCAGAATTTTGATTATGAGGTGCCTTGGCATAGATTTCATTGAGTTTGTCCTGTGTGGCATTTTCTCAGCTTCTTGAAACTGTAGGTTTATGTCCTTTGCCAAATTTGGGGAATTTCATCCACTATTGATTTGAATACTTTTAAATCCCGCTCACTTTCTTCTCTCCTTCTGGGACTCTGATGGCACAAATGTCAGATCTTTTGTTATAGTTCCCACAGATCTCTGCAGTTCTGTTCATTCCTTTTTCAGTCCGTCTTCTCTCTGTGTTACAGATTGGGTAACTTCCATCGTTCTATGTTCGAGTTCTTTCCTCTGTCATCTTCTTTCTGCTCTTAAACCCATCAACTTTTAAAATTCTGGTTATTGTATCTTTCAGTTCTAAAATTTCTACTTATTTTTTTTAATATCTTCTATTTTTATTTTTTGCAGAGTCTTTCCGTTTGTTGAGAATTTCTATTTCTTCAATTATTTCAAGCTTGTTGAAATATTTTTATGATGGCTGCTTTAAAATCCATGTCATGTAATTCCCACATCTGTTTCATCCTGATATTTCCATCTGATATGTTTTCTCATGTGAGGCAAGAACTCTCTGTGTCTTAGTAGGACAAGTGATTTTCTACTGCATCTGGATATCTGGTTCCTGTGTTATGTGACTCTGCGCCTTATTTAAATAATCTGCTTTAGCAGGCCTACTCTGACATCACGCCAATGGGAAGAGAAAAGCACTACTCATTACTGCCAGCTGGGGGTAGGAGTCCATGTTTCTGACTGAGCCACGGCTGGCACCCGACGGAAGGACACCTTGTTGCTTCTGGGTGGGTCTGGGAGTTCAGGCTCCCCACTAAGTTTCTACTGACACTACACAGATGCGGAAAGAAGCGAATGCCTTATTACTGCTCCCAACATGGCCTTCGATGACACTGTGGGTGGGGGGAAGGTAGGTGACTTGTTAGCCTTGGGAGGGATGAAATTTTTGACTTCACATTCCACCTTCACTGATTCCACCCGACTGGTGAAGGGGAAGACTGGTCACAGCCTCACAAGAGTGGAAATTTGGGCTCCTACTCTGCCTATGCTACTTGAATGGGGTACAGTTACAATTTTGTCCATGGCGTTGGCTGGATATGGGAGTGAGGTGATTGTCTAAAAGTTTTCAGTCTTGGGGCTGGCCCCGTGGCCAAGTGGTTAAGTTCGCGCGCTCCGCTGCAGGCGGCCCAGTGTTTCGTTGGTTCGATTCCTGGGCGTGGACATGGCACTGCTCGTCAGACCGTGCTGAGGCAGCGTCTCACATGCCACAACTAGAAGAACCCACAACGAAGAATACACAACTATGTACCGGGGGGCTTTGGGGAGAAAAAGGAAAAAATAAAAAAAAAATCTTTAAAAAAAAAAAAGTTTTCAGTCTTGCTAGGCTGCCCCTTTTCTTGTTCTTTGACTTGAGAGAGTAGGCTTTTCTTATGGCATTTTTGTGTGTGTGTCTGCATCCACTGGACCGTCCAGGTCCTTCCTTATCCAGCACACAGCTGGGGATGTGAGGCAAAAAGGAAACCCACAGAGGTCACCACAGTGTTATTTCTCAGGTTCCAAGGTACACAGCTGGTCTGCCTCCGTCTCTCCACTTCTCAGATTCTTCCAATGTATGTTCAATATATAATGTCCAGGGTTTTTAACTTCACTTAGCAGGAATGAGAAGAAGAAGTGCATTTACTTCATATTATTTCCAGAACTGGACCAGATTTCTCTCAATACGGTTTCAAATAGCATCTCTCTAATTGGTGGTATATGGAGCATCTTTCTATGAAGTCGCATCTCTCTGATTCCGAGTACATGGAGCATCTTTATATGTGCCAATTTGCCTTCTGTATTTCCTCTTCAATGAAATGTTGGGTCATGTCTTCTGCCATTTTCTAAATGTGTGATTTTTTTTTTTTTTTACTGTTGAGTTCAGAGACTTCTTTGTATATTCCAGATACTTCTTTGTCAGATATGTGTTTTGCAAATACTAAATCCCAGTCTGTTGCTTGACTTATCATCCTTTTAACAGATTCTTTCACAGAGAAAAAGTTTTAAATTTTGAAGCTGTTTTTTTTCACAGCTTTGAATCGTCAGACTCTTAAAAAGTTTTCCTACTGAGGTGCCTTAAATAAACACATGGCAGAGAGAATTGTTAAAGATTTTATCACGGCCCTAATTGAAAAGGCACTGGACCATAAAATAAGAATTAAGAGATGATGCCAATAAAAGAAAACATGGACTCTGAGATAGGTTGTCTGGGACATCCATCACTTATTAGATGTGTCACCTTTAAAAATTAGTAATTCTTGGGTCTCAGTTTCTTCCTAACTATGCCATATAGCATTATTACAAGTTAGAATTTAAAAATTGGTAACACACTTTAGAATACATAGTACAGACTTTAAAAATGTCACCTGCGGTTATTATAGTCATCATCATCACTTCCCAGCCTAACGATTAATAGTAAACTGTGGAACTTGAGTATCAAGAGACTCCATGTAGTTTTTCCTTTCTTTAAATATTCTCTTTGCTAATTATTTGGTCTCTTTCACTCTGGTTGAGAGTATGTGGAGACTGATAAAACCTTGCTAACCCTTGCTGATAAAGAATACCCCACATATTGCAGACAAATCTTACGTTGTCTATACAGTATCCTCATCTCACCAACGTCTCTTAGCTTTTGTTTTGGGGACTTTAAATAATATCTGATGTTCTTTCCTTTTCATTAAAACTTTTTCTTATTGTAAACATGATATCAAATGAATGAAAGTCATAATGAGGGTAACTGAAAACTTGGGAAATAAGAAAAGCAGAAAAAAGGAAAGTCCTCGATAATCCCACTCCCTAAATTCTGAAAATACTTTGACACATTTCCTTCCAGGCTTTGTCTTTACAAGTTTTTGGTCCCGAAGCAGAATTATAGCCTGAGGTTTATCACGATAATTTTCCTGATAGTATAATAATCTTTTGTGAATAAATAAACTAAGCCAAAGGACATGAACAGTTTCATGTATATACAATATTCCAGAGGAATGGTATCAATTCACATACTGAAAACAAGATATGATTGTGTCCATTAGAGCAGCCTGGCTCTAGCACTGTACCTTTTAAAAAATTCTTTATGAATTATCATAAGTGAAAAACATTTTGGCACTTAAATTAGAAGAATAATTTTTAAATTCTATAGTTGAAAATATTTCCATATGATTAGTAAGAAGCATTGTTTACTCTTTTGTGAATTGTTCCTCCCTCCTTATTTCTTTTTGGATCTTTGTGGTCTTTTGAGTGGGACATTTCTGGAACAAAGATATGGACACTCCCTCAGGCCAATGTCCAGGTCTGCAGTTGTGCCCTGAACTAGGGCACCTGGAGAAAAAGTGAGGGGGGACTTAAATCCAGCCTGGACCCCGTTCATTAACCTGTGCACCAGCGAGGCTATGCCCACCAGATGGCATGTGTTATTCCAAGTTGCACAAAGGTGTATCTTTAGACATGCGCAATTATGTGTTAGTCTTTTCTGCTCTAATATCGTCCCTATATTTTAAATCTTAAAAGTTTTTTCTCTTTCAGAGATTTGATAAGCAGTAACTGCAGAATACTGAAGGCTGACTTTTTTTTTGTTTGTTTTTACATTTAAGTCTTTAATTCATCTGGATTTATTCTGAGGTGGTAGGAGATACCACAAATAGATATTCTTCTTAAGTCAATAGCCAATTGCTCTTGAACCATTTAGAAAATAAACTACTTTTCCTTGCCCATTTTAATGTTCTCAAAAATCTTTTCTAAAATATTACACAAAGAGATATTTTTCTATTCAATGTGTTTTAATTATTGCACAGTTTAAAATTTTAATATTTAGTGTTACATGCACTTTTCATAAGACATACTTTCTAAAAATTCTCTTTTTTTGGTCTTAATTTTTCCAAAGAACAGTAAAGTTAATTTTCAGAATTGAAAACACAAACTGATTGGAATTTGAGTTAGAAATGTGATAAAATACAAATCAATTCAGTAATTTTCTACTTTAAAGATATTCCAATTTTCGCATCAGGATTGGGGTCAGTATCCCCATCAGGATCACTCTACTGACTTGAGTTCTATATTTTTCCAGTAAATCATCATATTTTCATGATACATGTCCTATCTTTTTCTATTAGTTTAACTCTAGAGATTTTATATTCTTTAGGAAGTCTCATGCATGTGACCTGCCTCAAATAACTAATCACTGGTTCCAGCAAGGGCTCACAGCCCTGTGAACAAGCCTCCCCAAGACTGAGTTCTCCAAGGGGCATGATCGCTGGTTCTCTCCATTCTATGCACCAGAATCTGACTCTAAGGATGAGAGAGCGTGCACCATTTCAGACAGCTACATGCAACTATGCCCAAAACTCTTTAACTTGAAAATACTGTCTGAACTCTCTGCTTTAAGGATTGTTATATGCAACGTATTCTGTGTATGTAAATGCAATAATCCTTTTTGGAGGTACATTGTTTTAGCTGTCTCCAACGCCCCTCTCAGAGTCAGTGCCACTTGCCAGAATCAACTCATAAAGGAGAAACCGCTGAAGACAATGCAAAGATAGCACGAGACATAACAGAACATGAAAGCGTGGGGCTAATTTTATGCATCAACCTGACTTGGCCACACGGTGTCCAGACATCAGCTAAATGTTATTTTGGATGTGTCTCTCGGGGCATTCCAGATAAGATTAGCATCTGAATCAGTGGACGGTCCCATAAAGCAGACTGGTCTCCCCAGCGTGGGGGGCCTCACCCAACCTGCTGAGGACCTGAACAGAACAGAAGGTGGAGGATGGAGAACTGTGCCTGACTCGGGAGCTGAGACATCAGTCTTCTCCTGCCCTCGCACTGGAATTTACACTCTGGTCCTCCTTCAGACTTGGGCTAGAGCTCACAACACAGGCTCTCCTGGGTCCCAGGCCTTCTGACTCAGACCAAAAATACACCACTGGCCTTGCTGGGTCTCCAGCTGGGAGACAGCAGATTGTGGGGCTCAGCCCCCAAAATGGCATAAGTCACTTCATTATAAAAAAATCATAAATCTCTCTCTCTCTCCCCACACATATGCATGTGTGTGTATATATATATATATATATATATATATATAAAATTGGTTCTCTGGAGAACCCTAATATAAAAAATAGAGTTTATAAAGAATTAATAATGACTATAATTAATGGTAACAGTTAATATGGGACTTTTATCTTCAAAGTCATTTCACAAAATCATTATATCCGAAGGATAACTTGATTCATAAAACAAAATCTTTCAGTGAAATAAGCTTTAATACACCCTCAGATATCTAATATATCTACTGAGGGATGATTTTCTGGCAGACTGTCCTTCTGGTAATTCAAATACTTCTCTCCGGTTGTGGCTTAAACTTGTGTCTGCTTAACAGTTCCTAACGGTTTCTCCCAACTCTAAGTTAATAATGAAGAGTTAGAGAAAAACAAAAATCACCATGAACAATTGAATTGACCGGACTTTCAGGTTAAGATGGTTGAATAAAGGTATTTAAGCCCTTTTCTAAAAAGAAAATAGAATCACCCTGAAACAATGTAAGGTGACCAACCGTGCTGGTTTTCCCGGGACTCAGGCTTCCCAGGACGCTGAACTTTCAGCTGCCGAGTCTGGGACAGTCAAGCAAACCGACACGGCTGATCGCCCCAGAAAAAGAACAAGAAAAACTCTGTCTCCAATTGAGGTGAGAAACAGCTGCAGCGCTAACCCCACGATGTGATGGGAGGAATTCCCACGAGGCGGCGGGTCAAACCCAGAGGACAGCAGCGGGGCCAGTGGAGCAGCAGGCCCAGCCTCCCAGCAGAACTCCAGAAAACGTCAGGAATGAGGGACACCTGTGTGCTCAGGTGGATGTGAGAAAGGGGCTGACAACAGGAAAGGGCAGAACAGCTGCGTGGGCCCCCCCCCCCCCCATCACCAGACCCCTCCTAGTTACTCTGAGCCCACCTGCCTTCTCCTTCCAGCCACTGAACCACAACCACCTCTCTGAGCCCGGACCACCCTCGGGTGTGGGCCCCCTAACACCACTTGGCCTGGGCGGCAGAACACAGTTCTAGGCCCTGCCCGGGGCTTCTCTGGGGCCCAGGGATGTGCGATGCTGCGGGACCTTGCTGCCGCCCACACATCCACAGCCCAAAGGCAGGAAGGGCAACACGGGGGGAGGGGCTGGGGACAATTCTTCAATCAACAAGAGGAATGAAACAGGAGATCAATTCTCCCACCCTCTCCACACTGCCCCATCGATGGCCCTGATCACAGTTCACACGCTTACTTGCCCTGGACCAGAGGGTGGTCCCGGGAGACCAAGTGGTCATTCACTTGTCCCGGTGGGCAGATCAATAGTGCCCCCTCATTTGGCCCTGCCCGCCCCAGCCCTTTCCTGTGCCCCTCCCTCCCGCTCCTGGGATTGCTCTCCAGCAAAGTCCCAGACCTCGCACCCTCCTCCTCAGGCTCTGCTTTCTGGGCCACCCAGGCCCGCCCGCCACCCCCGGAGGCGGCGACAGGCTATTTCCTGGAGAAAGCGAATTGAGAGGGTCTGGAACCTGGAGCCTTGAAGAACTGGGACAGGACCCCACCTCCCACTCACTAAAGAGAATGTGGAGCAAAAAGAATACGGGACTAGGTCTGTTTTCCGGTGGAAACGTCTCGGGTCTAAATATGGCAGCAGCCTGGGGCCCCTGCAGAAGGTGGGGCCGGGCAGTGACTCTTCTTAAGCCATACGTCAAAGTCGTCTCCTCCACTGTAACTCCTGGAGAAAGTTCTCTCAAACTTCCCCGACTTGAGTTTGTCTCTGTAGAAGTTTGGACGGAAATGTGACAAAACCCTCGTTTGAGGGAAGCGATTAAAGCTTGTCCTCACCGGTGGGCAGAGCGACTTGCCCTGTCTTCTCATACTGACTGCGCTTCATGGATTTCTAATCAGGCGCTGTCCAGAGTGAAATTTCTTATGTTCTGGCTTCTAAACAGTGAAATACGAATAAATTCCATAATGTGTTTAAAAACAAAACAAACAGCGACAACAAGAAAAATACCAGCAGGCAGGTCACGTGGAAGGGCCGGGAGGAGGAGAAAAGGGCCGCCCCGCCCCTACAGGATCACCTGCTGGCCGGGCTGGCCGCCCCCACGCGGGACAGAACCGGGTCCGCCCGCCACGCCTGCGCATCTCGGGGCGCATCCTCTGGGCTGCGGACTCCGCGCCCCGAAGAGGGGTCCCGCTTCTGGCCGCCGCTGGTTGCTCACCCATCAGGAGCCCCGGAGTCCGGAGCAGGATTCCCACCCGAACCCCTGGGGCGTCCCCGTGGCCGCTGGACCAGAGCCCCGGACAGCCGGCACTGGCACTGGTCTACACTGGCCCAGACCGCCCACCTTCCACCTGCGCAGGAAGGTGTGGAAGGACGGGAGGGCCAGCAGCAGCCTCGGAGACACATCAAGGCCTGGCGACCTCGAATGGCATCCCACGAGGGCGTGGACCGGGGTGGAGGGTGGGGATTGGAGGAGAATTAATCAATAAAGTTCAAGCCTTTTGAAAGGAATAACAATGACCGTTTCTCTCCCGTGTCCCACCTGGCGGAGTGAGTGAAGCAGCCTGCTGTCTCAGTCCATGTTCTGGTTCAGCTCCTTCATCCTGCACAGGAAATGTCTGCAGGGCCAAGTCACTCCAGAACATTTGGGGGCCGGTACCATCACACTTAAAGGTAAACGTCCGCCAGCTCAGCTGCCCCCTTGCTAGATTTGGCAGAACCCAGGATCTCCTTGGTCCAATCCGATGGCTTCTCCTCCTGAACTGTCCCCCAACGCAACGGCTTCTGGGGCCTCAACAGGAAGCTGCCCCCGCCACGTTCCAGCCTCGCGCAGGAGGACAGAGACGCTGGGCTTTGTGCTGCCCGCCTCCTATGCGCACGTCAGCCGTCAGACCCTCAAGCCCCGCAGATGCATTCCTCCCTGTCCCCCGACACTGAGCGGACTGTCCCCGGGAGACACGTTCGCTGCTGAGACGAGAGGGAAACCCTCCCCACCGTGCCCAGGCTGGCAGGGCGCTCAGCTGGAGCTCCGAAAACAAACCCGTGTCCGTCTCAGCAGGTGGTCCTTCTGTCTGTCTCTGCGGGATGGTCCTCTACACACATTTCCCCAGGAAATTTAATCAAAGACTGCATTTGGAGGCAAGACTCGAACGTGAATAAGTCTTCCTGGCAACACGCTTTTCTCTTCCTAGGAATCGGTCAACACGGGCGTTTTGTGACGTTCAGGTGCTCTGAGAACTGAGGGAGCAGCCGTGTGCCTAGCAGGATGCGACGACGATTAACAGCAGCTAGAAGATGCTGATGAAGAAGAGCCTGGAGTCCTCACATTCTTTTCTTTAGCCTCTTGAAAAAGCTATAAAGGCAGCATGAAGAGGAAGCTGTTAGTAGCCAGGAAATTCGAGAGAAGAACGTTCTGAAATAGGACTTCTCAGAGGAAATGATCACTAATAGCCCTAATTCAGGACATTCCAGACAACAGTCCTAAGATCAAAGCCGCTCCTCCGCTTCACACACCAGCGGCCGTCTCCTCGCTGCACTCGCCCAGCAGGCACCCTTCGCCAGAACCGGACAAGCTTCGGACTCAAAACACATCCCTCTGGGAGAAGCCTGGAAAGGCTGAGGGAGGAGACTCTCTCTCCTGGCCTAAGTGTTTTTCAGCCCCTGGAATGATTTCCTGTTATTTCATTTTGAGCCTCCCTGAGTATTTCTCACTTATTCAGTACTCTTAATCCCCCAGAAGCGTTTTATTTTTTCTTCCTCCTTTGGTTTTTCTTTCCTTGTCAGAAAGAAATCTCACTCCCACAGTTGTTTTCTTCTTCTCTGCTGGAGCAGAGAGTTCTAAAATTACTTCATTGTGCCAGGTGGTGAGGTCTTTTCAACCTTGATGGATGCTGTTCTCGAGCTTAAGCCGTTGTCATAAAATGCGTAGTTTACCAACTCTCTCCTCCTTTGTAAAGTTAACTTTATTCTTAGGATGCAGCTTTTAAAACTCTGTTCCAAGTTGAGTGTAGCTGCAAAGAGTCAGATAATGTTTGGGTGGTGGGGGGAAGGCTCAGCACCCTCGCACGAAACTGCAGGAGCCTTTCGAATGCTACAATATCCGTATGTGTTTAGAGAAATATAATTGTTCACTGCAAATGTCAAAGAAGGTTTATTTACAAAGAAGGATTATGGTCACTAACTAGATCAAAATTAGGAGAGAATGATCATAGGAACAAATTATACCCAAGGACATTTACTCATTCTTCTTAAACAGAGTATAGCAATTACCTTTTCTCAGACTCTCTCCTTGCAGAATCTCACAGACATTCAGGATGGGCGGGCTTCAGCGGCCCTCAGATATAACCACATCCCTGAAAAATAATCTCTCAGCCTAGTCCTAACCCCCTCTAGCAATGGAAAACACCCTCTCCAAAGGCTGCCTTTCTCCTTGGATTTTGGCTTTCCTGGAATAACTCAGCGCCTTAAGTATAAACACATAGAGAAACCACTGCCCCCACGCAGGAAGCTGACTCCTCGTTGTCAATACTCAGTACTCATGGTGAGCAGATATTCTTGTCCCTAAACCTTGGGCCCACTGGTTCCAGCTTTGCCTTCGTACACCACACAGAGAAATCCAATCCATCTTCTGTGTAAAACACCGCGCTCAAAGACCACCCATCGGGAGCCCTCCCTCAATTCTTCATCTCTGTGGATTAAACATCTCTTTCTCCTACAACCGTGTGATATGGTTTCTAGGTCACTAGCTATTCCAAACCCCTCCCTCTGGATATCCTTCAGGAATCTCTGTAACTGTCCTTGAACGGACCATTCCTGATGAGGTCTAATCAACACGAAATCCAGCAAGACCACTGAGACACTTTCTATAAACCTAGCCTAAACCACAGGAGCTCTCTTAGCAAACACATCTGTTCTTTATTCATTGAGCTCACAGTTGGCTAAATCAAATATGTCTTATCCTAGAATTGTGCGATTAGACTTCTGAAATCAAAGATATAACTTTGCATTTAGATCTCTTACGTTTCTTTATTTGTACCCCAACATTCTAGCCTTTTAAAGTTACTTTTGATTCCCGCTTCTTTATCTAACGTATTAATTATTCTTCCTAATTTTTTAATCTCTGGAATTAATTAATATGCCATCAATCTATTTTTCTAAGTCTATTAATTTAAACTGTGAACAGAACAAGATGAAATAGAGTCTCTCACCATCCCCCTACAAACTACCCCCAGGCTGACATCAACCCACTAACCTTTCCCATTCTCTTCACAACATAGCCGCTCTGGCCCAGCCACTCTGACCTGACCTTGAGACACAGCCATGCCTCTCTCTCATTTCCTTTGAAACTGTGAAAAGAGGAGAAAGTATATCAAGAGGAGTGACGTTTTACAGACATGCCATCACTTCTGCCAGGTACTCAAAGCCATACCGATCTGGACAGTGGTGGCTCCAGTCAAGATGGTTATTAGTTGTGAGTAGCAGGATGAATACCTGTGGGGATTACTTTTTCTTCCAGGGTCCTTTGCATAGCATATCCTGTGCGTATATTGTCCTAGCTGTCTGACACTCTGTGCAGAAAACGAATGCTATGTGTGGCTGACTGCAGACCAAATCCTATGTGTTCTAAAAGGGCAAAGCTGGAATCAATGAGTCCAAGTTTTAGGGAAGAAGATAGTGGCTCACTCTGAGGAACTACGGTAGATGGTGTGGAGGCAGTTGGCTGGGTGGGGCAGTGGTTGTTTGACGTGCTCACATTAAAGGCACTGAGTTATTCCAGGGAAATGAGACAAGGTTTTGCATCCCTTCCTTTCCTCTCTGTATTGTATCACTCACAGCATCCACCCCATATCCAAGAAAAGGAGTGGGTGTCCTTATCCTCACCAGCATCCTTCTGCTGTGGTGTCCAGCCTGAATCCTTCACACCAGGAACTCCCCCGTGCCCCACGTCTTTCTTTATCCCAACACATTCAAACTGAGAGCACACGGCCCATGTCAGATGTTCTCTTAAAAGATGAGTATGGGGCCCTTGGCCCAGTGGTTAAGTTTGCACACTCTGCTTCTGGGGTTTCCTGGTTTGGATCCTGGGTGTGGACCCACACACTGCTCATCAAGCCATGCTGTGGCAGTGTCCCACTTAGAAGAGCTAGAGGGGCTTGCAACTAGGATACACAACTGTGTCCTGGGGCTTTGGGGAGAAAAAGAAAAAAAAAAGAGGAAGATTGGCAAGAAATGTAGCTCAGGGCCAATCTTCCTCACCAGAAATGTATGCCTTAAAAAAAAATGAGTATATTACTAATTTAACCTTCTATATGCATTTGAGTTAAGGTGTTAATGTTGACAATAATTAAAATAGCAACATACCAATTAATATTTGCATTTTAACAAAAACTGTCAATGCCCTCACCCAAAGAAGTATATATTATACATATTGTGGGTTCTTGATGTGCATGTTGGAAAGCAGCTGTCTTCCTCCACTGACAGGCACACCGGCCCTTAAACCATTACCGTCCCTGTGAGGCTGGAAAAGCTGCCCTGCATGTAGGCATGCCTCCGGAGTAGAATCAATGACTGCCTTTATGTTTGTTTTATGTGTTGATCACCAGCCCTGTTAACCTTCCTAGTTAGAATTAAATAGATGATTTCATTTTTAAATCTGTCTGGTTGATAAAGAGCTTTTACTCTAAAGTTCAGTTTTCTATATATTTAAAACATCCTAATTGAGAACAAAGTGTCAGAAACATTTCAAAAGCAATACCCAAAAAGCAATATTGACAAAAACAATAGTAATAACGCTGACAAATAAAAATGGCAAGCAATAGGATATATTGGAGAATATGAGGAAGCCATTTGGTATAAACCTAATTCGGCCTGACTTTGTCTTTCCAAAAGGCCTGACCCTGGCCATGGAGCATGCACTGTATAACTGCTTTAGAGATTCCCTATGGCAAGTGCCAAAGGCCCTTGAGGTAAATGTGCAACTTCCCTCCCCCTCCCAATGTTGGCATCCCCTTAAGGATTAAGCATCTTTCCTTAGGCTAGGAACTGATTGCTGTGCTCACCTGTGACGGCCCAGCTCGAGACAATAGACTTGCCTCCTGCTACGCCCACCAAGATAGCAGACCCACTACCTGCTGTGTCCATCAAGTGCTGTGCTGACAGGGCAATCTTGTGACTATTGTGGGAGGGACATTTCAATCATATGTAAAGCACCCTCTTTGGGGGTATATAACCACTCTGTACACCTCATTTCTTTGGTGCCCTTTCTTCCTTTGGGAAGAAAGACCCCGGGCCATGGTCCTCAGACTTCAGCTCAGAATAAACTCACCCAAATTTTCATTTACAGATTGGTTATGGATTATTTTTGTCGACAACACCAATATCACCAAGGCAGTGTAGCAACTGGCTCAGAATGTCGGCCTTTGTTGCAAAAGATCTCAAACACTGCCACTGAAGCTGTGTGCCATCTTCACATTAAAATGTAATCAATTTTTTAAAGCTGTCATAACATCTGTTGCCAAAAAACAATTTACGAGATCTTGAATGTTTTATGATACTTTTCACCCAATTTAACTGAATTAAATTAGTTCATATGTATGTAAACGTAAATGCACATTTTTGGATTGCTTACAAGAAATTTCAGTCAAAACTTTGTTAGTCTCTAAAAATGTTGTGACAATCCCAGCAAACTTAGCAGTAAGACGGCTTGTTCTCAAGGGTCTGCCTCAAGTGGTTTGTTAAAGAAAAATCGACATTGTCCATGAAAATAATCCATAACCAATCTATAAATGAAAATTTGGGTGAGTTTATTCTGAGCTTAAATCTGAGGATTATAACCCGGGAGAGTCTTTCCACAAAGGAACAGAGCACTCCAAAGAGGTGGGGGGGGGGGGGGTATACAGGGTCGTTATATACCCCCAAACAGGATGTTTCACATATGATTGAAATGTCCCTTTTACAATAGTGGCGAGACTGCTCTGTCGGCACAGCGATGGATGGAAACAGCAGGTAGGTCTTCTGTCTCAGTGAACCCCACAGGTTGGCAGTCTGTTGTCTGCAGCTGAGTGGTCACAGGTGAGCTGGGTGGTCAAAGGTGAGTGCAGCAATCAGTTCCTAGCCTAAGGAAAAATGCTCATCCCTAAAGAAATGCTGATGTGGGGGTAAGTTGCACCTTTATGTCAAGGGCCTTTGTTCTGGCCACAGGAAATGTCTGAGCAGATATACAATGCGTGCTCAATGGCCACAGTCAGGCCCTTTCGGAAAAAAACAAAGTCAGGCCGAATTAGGTTTATACCAAATGGCTTCCTCATATACTCCAATATATCCTATTGCTTGCCATTTTTATTTGTCAACGTTAAAAATGTGTAGCATCACAGTTTCATCAGGATTTAGAAGGGATTTTGGAAAGTCATCGTAAACTTTGAACTCTACAGGTTTAAGCCAAAGCTAGATTCAGAGAGATGGGTGGCCATTCTTTTATATGGAAACTTACAGAGAAGATTTCATAACCAAGAGCTTCCACTGTGTGTCAGCATCCCTGTTATTTTTGTAAAACTCCTGGTCACTGATGGAGATTGTGACAACATTGACTTTCTGGAACTCCTCTTTGTGGTGTCCTAGCGTTGGTGGAGTGGGAAACAACTCCCTGTATCCTAATGCGGGATGTATGCAGATTCTTCTCAGGTTCCCATGAACTTTCTTTTGCTCAAGCTCAAATTCAGTAGGTATTGGCTGAAAATTACTTCCCCATCCCAAATGAGGGAAAGACTTTTAATTTTTGTATGCTTCCCATGAGTTTTCAGCAGGTCCTACGCTGCCTCTGTTAAC